GCGTAGAATTAACACTTCTGGCATATTTCGCGATCCACTGTACAATACGTCACCAACCCTTATAAACAAGAACAGTCACGAAAAATTCCGGCTCGATCTGATGACAATAAAAACCGAGATCGAACTGCATGCATATTAATGCTCGGAAAACATTTCTGAGTCAAACTCAATGAAAGAATTCAGAAGCAAACAGCAAAAGTCACTTCCAAGAGGTCAAGATCTTAAGGGATTGCAGCACTTAACGATCCTGAAAAACACTGACACAACCGCAAAATACAAGCCATAACACTAGTCGCTTTTGACTGCTTCACTCAGTATCTTCCTCTCATATGGTGCTACTGCTTTTTTTAAATCTCTTCTCAATTCACATCAGGAACTCGCGAGAACAGTTTTTCTACGTTTGGTAGAAACTCCTACTTGTATACCGCCAAAACAAGCTTGGAAGAATACAAGAATGATCAACCAGGTGGGTAAGAATTTCATTAACAGGCGATGCTCTGTTAATCCGTAATCTTTGAGGATTTCGGAAGGAATGATTGTCGTTCAAAACAACTGACTGCAACATCTCACTGACAACAAGCTTATTCTCGACCAAGCGCCGTTCGATTTCTTGAAAAACCAGCATGATCATAAAAAATGTCCTCCTCCGAAAATGCATTGTGCTACTACACTTAGTCAATAGGAACCCAAGCTTTATAAGCTTTTGAACGCTCAAACACTAATTTCAGATGATGCTGTATACACGACGAGACAAGTCTAAAGAACTGTTAGTGGCATTATATCTTTCTGAAATTACATGAACTCAGTCAGCATGTATAGCCGATATCAATCAATAGACACCTTTCTAAGCACTGTCACATGTGAGTGAATTATCAAGCGATACCAGATCACCAGTGTGATTAATTTAAAGAAATACAATTCATTCATAAAGAACTCCGGGCAACGTACAAGGGAACTGGAAGAAAAGTAACTTGTCGCATATGGCACTGACGTACATAATACAGGCAACTCTGCGGCCAAAAAACTCTGTTCAACCGATAATGACAAGCTGCCGGTAAGATAAACAGATTACAACAAAACTGTTGACAAACATTCCTTCAATCAACTAGGAATTCATTTACGAGTGATTTTTTGGCAGTGAATATTCTACTTCAAAAGTCTGTTTTGCAGCAAAAAATAAACGTTCAGTTTGGTCAGAAATTTGAGGGTGTGAACAGACCAGTTAAAATTTTATCCGTTAATTGCAGGAGTCAGCTTATGGCAAAATTAGTTTGCATATTTTGCACATAAAATTTACTTTTCGTAAAGAATCTTTGAAGTTCAACCACTGTAGTAGGAAGCAGAACTTTTGAGCGGGGTAGCACAGTGACAAGAGGTCGACTTCGACCTCCGGAGGTGTCGAGTTCGAATGAAGAGAAAAGGAAACAATGGCTCTTAACCGCAAATGCCATGAGCAAAGAATTCACCCCATACTGCTAGTGCTCAACCAGCCGAAAACTGGTAGCATTTCATTGCCTCCTGAACAACCGGTACAGTATGGTGATCCAGTGTAGTCATACCGTAATCGCCTAGGGGTATATATATGTGTGCAAACAATGCTTAAAACTTTCGTACAAAACTGATAGATATAAACGCAGATGAGTTACAAGAAGTATAATTCATAAAAAGTTAACAAATAAGTGCACTAGCTTCCCCAACAGGAATTGCCATTCGCCGTGGCAAACTTGTTTTCAGCATAATTAATGATGAAAGAAAATTTACGGTTTCAAGGTTTCAGGAACACTTTAAAACAGCATTTCAATAAAGAGTTCACAAACCAAACGGTCCAGCTGAACTTATGATGTACTGTCGGAAATGATAAGATAATGCTTTCATACGATCTGAGACATGACAAAGTTATTGAGGATGGCACTGCATTGTCTGAGCTCCGGACGGCATTTCATCCTCTTCATACGCTGTCGCTCTGCGGCTTGAACCATCCCTCGAAAGATCCGCCTCAGCCATATAAACTTCTTCCGCTTGATCCGGTATTATGCACTCTTCACGTGGAGGTAAAAGGTTTGCAAGTTCATCCAGCTAAAATATCGATTGCAGATTTAACATAAAATATTTACTTTAAACGTTCATTCCTACAACTAAGTTGTCTTGTCATAAAACTACTGCTAGACTTTAATTTTCAAAAGAAATAATTCAGCTGAACGTCGACCCACAGATCCCATGTGCAACTTTGTACCTAATGTATCGTTCACTGCATACAGTCACTAAAAAAGGAAAGATTATTCACTTGAGTTATACTACATCAGTCGTTGTATCGTTTTCCTTTGCCTATCACTTGAAACTGTCGCTCTAGCCCAGTAGTACACCTCGACTGATTGCCTTTCGCTCTTGTCCTCCTGGTTACCACTGAAATATTGGAATCTACTGTACCTCCCTTCCCATACTTTAAAACACCGGTTACTACAAAAACATTAAAAGAATTCTAAGACCAATCTAAAAAGGAAGACTAGCAAATCTAACTAAGCATCTCTATGAATCTTAAAAACGACAGCTAAATCGATGTTAACCCAAGGTTATATGCTGATGGACTCAGGAAGCACTGACTAATCCATATTTAAAAAAAACGTATATAAATCATGGATCATACTATAGCAACGTGGCGCAAAATTAACTAATCCGCAACTGCATGTCTTCTAAATGACGCTATAATGGTCGGCGTGACTATGAAAAAGACATAAGCAAAGACGTGCAGGTAAGGAGCGATGAGTAAAAACGATGAAGCCCAAGACGACGTGATACGATGTGGCGTTCAAACAAGAAATCAGTTTTAATGGGTATGTTGAACGTGTGACAAATTGGCATCTGTAAGGAGAATCACGGACTTCTGCGACGCGCTAAAGAGTGAAGAAGAAACGGGCGAAAATGGAAAAAAGAATCCGTACTGGCAAATGCTGCTTTCAGGGAAAATCTATTTCAGCAAAACCGGCATCGAATCGACGATCACGAAAAGTTGCACTAGTGACAGACATACAGATCAATATGTTATTCAAAAAGAGAAGCTGGAAAAACGAGATAACTTTTTGGAAAGACCCAAGTCACACGACAAAACAACTGCTTCTAAGATAATAATATCAACTGAAGAATATGTATTTATAAGAACACCCATATGATTTTCCCGTTTTTAAGCGTTTATTATGCTTTTCT